CTTAAGATATTCTCATTTGAATATCTAACATGAAAGTAGAGAATCTTGACATGAGAAAGGTTTAACCCAAGTTCGCGATTCTGATTCAAATGATTTTTTTTGGACAAATGATTGAATTGAAAAGTGCTAAAAAGAGGAATTTAATTGAAGAAAGATATTGAAAGCTAGAGAGAGGGGCTTGATCATCATAAATGACTAGATTTCCACCACACCGAATAAGAAAAATAAGACTTTATAGCATGCACCTTTACCCATATGATTTATTTCCTTGTTCTTTGTAAATTTCCTACTGGTTTTCACGTTTCTCTTTTTGGATTGGAGAGTTGCAAACCACATTTTCATTGCCTCATTTCAAAGGAAACAGTTGGCCTCAAGGTCCCAGCCATAAAAGAAAAGAAAGAAGTCACATCATCCTCTAAAATTCTGGAAAGAAATCATTAATGATCACAAAATCAAAATTAAAATATTTTGGTTTTCTATTTCTGCTCACTCAAGATTACACCCTAGAGTTAATGTAATATTTGTTTCCTAAATAGAGCTACATCTTAGGCTATATAAACCTATTCTGCTAGAAGAAAAAAGAAAGGAGGACAAAAATAAAAAACAAAGACAAGAAAAAAATGAGAAAGAGGCAGGCAATAAGAGAAAAAATCATAGAGAATAGAGGGGTTTTTCTTTCCTTCATCCTTGCATTACTGTGAGGGGGAAGGTAGGTAATAGAAGAGAAAAGGAGTAGGAAAAATGAAAGAAAGAATAGAAAAGGAGAGTAAAGGAAAAACACAGAAAATAGAAGGATTTTCTTTACTTCATTGTTGCATTACTGTGAGATATGGAAAGCAGAATAGAGCAAAGGGAGAAAAGAGAAATTGAAGCTAAAAGCAATAGAGAGCGAGAGAGACAAAGACACAAAGAAAAAACACAGGAGACTGATGCAAACAAAGAACAAAAGGCAAAGGGGCTAAAAAGCAAACAAGAATACTGATAGATTAGCCAACATGCCTTCAACACTACTACAAATCCTTCGTTTCCGCCTCCAGGTCTGTTATTCCTAGTTGTGCATGCATTATGGGTTGCATTGTTACTGTTCAAGTGAAATTTAATTCACTTGAACTATAACCAGCCAAGGCATGCGTAAGGAAACTCACGCATGCCTTTGTGCCCAGCCTGGTCATTGGTTTGGGCTAGTGACCTGACTAGACTTGTTGAGTTTAGCCCAGCCACGTGGGTCGAGCTAGACCCAACCCCTAAAAAAGAGTATATTGCTGTTGTTTTTTTGTGTATTTATTTTATGGTTTTTTTTTTGTATTTTTATATTGAAAAAAATATAAATCTCGTATTAAAAATACCAAGTTTTCAATGCAATATGATAAATATACATGTATATCAAAAATAATATTTGTACGCAAATGGTCAATACCCTAACATGTTTTAAACTTTTTTTAAATAAAAAATAAATATTTGAAATTTTAAAAATATGTTTTTGCATGGATTTCTTAAACATAACAAAAAATTATTTTCTTGCATTTCTAAATTTTACAACATGTTTGTAAAACTTTAAAGGGTATTGGTCAATATTAAAAAAAAATACAAAAATCTTATTTTGATAGGGGGATTCATCTATTATTTACCATTAATGTTTGGATAAAGAAATCTCAAAGAGATGAATATCCAAAATATTATTAGGAATAACTTGCTATTATTCACTGTTAATATTTGAATAAAGAAATCCTAAGTGGTAAATATTCAAAATAATTTTCTAGGAATAATAAGTCAACACATATCCTTGAAAGAAGCCTTGATTATAATTAATGACATTTCAATTTTTTACTCCACAATTTATGAGTCATGAGAGTATGAAACACCAAGGTAAAAATAAACTTTTAAAGTGCCTTGAATTTCCCTAAATTTATGTATTTTTATCTCTCCTTGTGATTTACGAGTCGCAAACTCTTGAAATACTAAGGAAAAAATGAGCTTTGAAAGCATATGGAATCTCTTTGAATTTCTATTTTAATAAATTTAGTTTGAATCAAACACAAATTTCAAAAGATTTGTATTGATTCTCCTTGGCACTTTGTAGACATATCTAAAGGTATGATCTATATTGGTCAAGGTTTCTTACTTCTAAACTTTGAATCTAAATTCATTCATTATAGCAAACCTATCCTAGGAAACTTATTTAAGAGAACATCAACACTATAATAATTATAAGGCAAACCAAATATCAAGCAACTTACCTTAATGTAAAGTATACTAGGAGTGCTAATACATTCCCTTTACGCAACCAGTTTCTTATCTTAGAATCTTTAAAATACCAGTTAAGGTTCCTAGTGACTATAATACTAGGTGGCAACTACCTTATAAAAAAAAAATCTCAAAATCAATCGAGAGTTACCGTGATGTCGTGCTGTCACTAGAGTACGACAGGTTCCTTTAGCATCTTAGAATATTTTCTATATTTGTGCATGAAACCCTTGTCTTTTAGGATTTTCATCTAAGCATGGCTTCTTCTCCATAGGTTCCCTAACCTTTCAGAAATTTTTTAAATATAGGGGTGTAACACTCACCCTTTTAGAAATTTTTCTAAACATGACTTCTCCTTCACATATTTCTTTTGCCCCTTAGAAATTTTTCTAAACATGGATGTGGAACTCTTAACCTCTTAGAATTTTTTCTAAGTATGAATTCTTTTTGAAATGATTCTTTTTTATCTTTTATAATTTTTCTAATTATAAATTCCTTTTTTATGGGTTCACTCACCTCAATCTTTTAAAAAAAATTTCTAAGTACAAGATCTTTCTGCATGAGTTTTTCCAATAGATTCCTCTCTCGTGAGACTTTCTAAGTATGAGTGTTTTTATGATTTTCCCTTACATATTTAAAAATCTTTTTTAATATAGTACACACCACTAAATACATGTGTTCTTTGATAAATTACCCTAGGTTTCACCTTTCTTCTTATACGAGAAAAAAAAATCAACAACTTGTCCAAGATATCAGACAATAAAGTCCTCATGTATTTTTTTTTTTTTGATTTACGTGGGGTGTCCGGGTCAGCTTACGCGCATCACGACTAATCCCCACGGCCCACTGAACATCCTGCAAGCCTAGTGAGCAGGTAAGGCACCGCGGGGGTGATAGGAGTGCATGGTGAGGTTCGAACCCAGGTGCGGAGGAAGGGAATAAGCCCCTCCCACCACTAGGCTAGAACCTCACTTGCAAAGTCCTCATGTGTTTGATATGGAAAGACTTTGCCCCTTCACTCTAGCAAAAAAAAAAAAAAAAAAAAGGTTGACATAAGACAACTAAGCTATTTATATTTAAGGGCATCATCATTATTATTTTGTTTTTCATTTTAGACATCATCACTTATTTTGTTCTTTATAGCCGCATAGAATGGAGCAAATCGTAGACTAGGTGATTAACCAATTTATCCACCTAAATGCTTATTGTTACTAAGCACCTTATAATTTTTTAGGACATCGCTATTTTTTTAAATTTCTCTAGACGCCTTTTTCTCTCTTGTGTTGGCCTTTTAAAAGATATAGGCATATGGCCCGTAAACACAATCAAGGAAGGAGATGGATTTTTTATATAGAAGCCAATGTCAACGGTTTCAAACAAGGCAACTGAGCTATTTACATTTTAGATTTGGTTAATTAACTTCAAATAACAAATGTAGCAAATTGACTAATTCAAATCTTACTGTGTATTTGATAATATGGTTACAATGCTTTTTCGAAACATTTTTACTACAATCTCGTTTGGAAGTAATACAGCAAAATATATTTAATTTGAAAAATATTAGATTTATTTTTCTAAATATTTTTTAATAATCTTAAAATACTGGTATTAGAAAAATATATAAATATAATCATTTTAATATATTAACTTTTTAAAATTTTTTCGGGTATATTTTAAACTTAATAGTTGATTCTTGATTGTAAATTTTAATTAATCACGATGACTGTCCTCTGACGCATACCTCACGACCGTTGTTTTTTCAAAGGCCACGTTTTGCACGCAAGCATCCATGGGCATTACCAAGAAATGATAGCTACCAGCTGCAATGCAAGTCACGTGTGGCATTTCTTTGCGAAAGGGCCCTCCCTGTTTTAACCATATTTGGCTTCCAACGCTTCCTCTGATGGAATGAAAAAATTGAGAGTATGGGAATTAAAAAAGAAAAAAGAAACAAAGAGGAAAGTATATACGCCATGGATGGTGACCATGCGAGCTCCGAATTCAACACCGATGGTGAGTTCATGAACGGGATGGAATCTTTTATCAGTGAATTTCAAGAGCAGGTATGATTCCCCTACACCTAAATTGAAAAGCACAATTCATTTTTCCAAAAAATAAAAATAAAAGAAAACGAAAAAATCGAAAAGCAAGAAGAGAAGGATGATAAAATGCTCCACCCAGAAAACCCAATGTCCCCTCCACACCATATTCGCTCACCTTA